CGTAGATCACACTCCCCCCTCTCGTTGCTATGCATCACCATGATCTTGCGTGTGCGTAGGAATTTTTTTGAAATTACTACGAAACCCAACACATACCTGGTGGTAAAAGCTGTCTTAGGTATATCCTGTTCTCGAATCTTCAACTGATGGTATCCTGACCGCATATCGATCTTGGAAAATACCTTAGCTCCTTGCAATCGATCAAACAGATCATTAATCATCGGTAGTGGGTACTTGTTCTTGATGGTTACTTCATTCAATCCTCGGTAATCAACAACCATCCTTAACGATCCATCCTTCTTCTCCACTAGAAGTACTGGCGATCCCCAAGGTGAAGAACTTGGGCGAATATAACCTTTATCAAGTAGCTCCTTAATCTGCTTCTTAATCTCTTCCAAATCCTTTGCGGGCATCCTATATGGTCTCTTAGATATTGGCCCCGTGCCTGGCAAAAGCTCAATCAAAAACTCAATATCTCTATCCAGTGGCATGCCTGGCAACTCTTTTGGAAATACATCAGGGAAATCCTTCACTACTGGTACTTCCTCCTGCACAACTCATGTTAACGAATTTACTTGAGTCCTCTTCGGCACATGCCGGGATACATACTTGATCCTTCTTCCTTCTGGGGTGGTAAGAAAAATTGACTTACTGGCTCAATCGATGTTTCCTCCATACATCGACAACCAATCCATACCCAGAATTACATCCAAACCTTGTGATTCCAAAATGATCAAATCCGAGGGAAACACATGCCTACCTATACTCAATGGCACTTGAAAACATCCCTTACTAGCCATATACTCTGCTCCTGGTGAGCTTACTAGCATAGGTGTTCTAAGAACTTTGGTGGGCAGGTTATACTTATCCACAAATCCCCTTGATATGTATGAATGCGATGCACCAGTATCGAAAAGAACGAGTGCAGTAAATGACTTAACCAAAAACTTACCGATTACTGCATCTGGCTGCTCTTCAACCTCCTCCACGTTAATGTGGTTCACCTGTCCCCTGTTGAAAGGGTTCAGCTTCTTCCCAGAGCTTCCATTGCCATTTCCATTCTGGGGTTCATGACATTCATTGGCATAACGTCCAGTCTTCTGGCACTTAAAGCAAGTGACTTGGCTCAGTTCTCTCTTGGCTGGGGTTGATGGGTTGGTACGGTTCTGGCTGTTGCTTCCTCCATTCCCATTACCATTCTTGGTGCCATTATGATTGTGCGAGCTACTTCCTCCATGGGTATGCTGAAAATGGCCTCCCGGTCTAGGGGTAAAACGTGGCTTCTGCTAAGCTCCTGAATTGTACTTCCCTTGTCCATACTTCCTCTTGCGATTCTCAATTTGCTGCTGCTTCCCTTCAATCATAAGAGCACGATCTACCAACTCCTGGTAGTTGTTGAAAGTTGCTACCATCAACTGCATGCTCAACTCATCATTCAGTCCTTCCAAAAACTTCTCCTACTTAGCTGCATCCGTAGCAACGTCATCTGGGGCATAACGTGCTAGCTTACTAAAGTCCTCCGCATACTGGCCAACTGTCCGTCCTCCTTGGCGCAAGTTGCAAAACTCACACTTCTTCATGGCCATAGCTCCTGCTGAAACATGGGCAGTACGGAAAGCCTGCTGCAACTGGTCCCATGTGATAGTATCGATAGGGAAAGTGGCGGTGAAATTCTCCCACCATGATGCTGCGGGTCCTTCAAGCTGATGTGCGGCAAACTTCACCTTTTCTACATCTGTGCATCCTGTCGTGGTCAACTCCCTTGCTGTCTTGCGGAGCCAATCATCTGCTACTATCGGCTCGGTGCTACTGGAAAACACCGGCGGATTCAGCCTAAGAAAACGGGCTAAGTGATCAACAGGTGGTGGTGGTGGGTTGTTGTTGTTGTTCCCCTGATTCTGATTCTGGACTAGCAACTGCATCAACGTGTTCTACTGCACTAACGTTTCCAATCTCTGTGCTCAGGTGTCATCCCTGGATTAGTTATTCTGACACCACACAATACTTGAAGGATTTATAACAGAGTAGCAATCACACACTTATTACATCGAGTGTCTCAAAAGAGAACTTATTACAATAAATATGGCTTAAGTCCATCTAATAACGATAACAGCGGAAGGCTTGGAAGATAAGTGAGTCCATCAACTCCAACGGCATCACTGAGTATAGAACCACGACCTAAAAACACCTTACTCGTCGTCTGAAAAGTCTGCAACATGAACGTTGCAGCCCGAAACGGGTCAACACATGTAATATACTGGCAATGTAACACATAGAGAACAATGAAAGAATAAGGCTATTCTATATGCATATTTGGCTGGTGGAAAGCTCTATGCTTACAGTTTTGCGTAAAGCCAATTTTTCCCTACTGCAAAGGAAATAATTTGATTTAACTAACATGGTGGTTGTTAAACATTGAGAGTGTAGACACGCTCTCAATCCCAATTAAAACATCATCATTAGAACCCAACAAAATTAATTAGAGTAACATGATGAGATTCACATGATAATCCAAGTACTAGATACTCAAGATGTCCATAACCGGGGACATGGCTAACCATGATTAGTTTATACACTCTGCAGAGGTTTGCGCACTTTTGCCCACAAGACTCGATCTCCTCCGTTGGGATTCTCAAACTACAGGGTGTTTGAGAAACGGATGACCGAGACATAGTCTTTCAGAAGCACTAACACCTTACGAACGGGTAGAGCGTTACACCTACTTTCCCCTACATCTGCTAGTCTACCACTGTAAGAGTTTGCACAACTTAGTCAACTATGCTAGAGCCCATAGTAGCTTGTGGCTGCACACGGAAGCTTCTAGTATGAAATAATCTCATGATCCCTTTGAGCCTGGGTGTCGGTCCAAAAGAAAAACAGGCAATCGCTGGAATACCCAGGTGCCTCAATCCACCCAGATGTGTGTTTAGATAAACCATTAATTTAACAAACTCACATCTATCATGGATTTCACTCACCCAATCCACGTCTACTAGCATAACATGGCAATATAAGCAACGTAGAAGTAACTCCCAAAGGTTTGATAATAACAGGTAATAGGTACTACCTCAACTACTTCCCAAAACACACAATTTAATTAGATCCTAATCATGCAATGTGTGAGGATTGATCTAATGCAATAAAAACTGAGTAAAAGGGAGTATGATCAAAGTGTTACTTGCCTTGCTGATGATCCGTGAAACCTAGCGATTTGAAGTAGCAAGCGGCGCACTCCGGATACTCTATCGCAAACAAACAAGCATACAATAAGTACTCAACTAATGCACAGGTAAAACTCAAATAAGAGATCTAACCAGAAAGTTCAACTTAAAAAGAATCAAATCGAACGAAGCAACGAAAGACAAACGACAAAAGAAACAAGCTTCGTTTACTATTCTGGATCTAGGTCAAATTTTACAAAGGCAAAAACTTGTTTGAGTTGTTTAACGGAAAGAGGGTTTCGAGACGAAACTCCAGGCGCTTGAATCGCCTGATTCCGATAAACGAGAGAAAAGTTATACTAGAACGAAAATTGGATCAGAAATCACGATCAGAAAAATCATGAATTTAATCCGAGAAAAAGAAAAACGATGAACAGATTAACGAACGAACGTTCGTTATCTGGATCTAAATGATGAACGCGTTCGTTAAAACGAACGAACGAGCGAACACTCGCTAATTAACTAATCCGGAAAAAAACGATCTATTGAAAAAACGGATCTAAAAAAACAAAAAACATCGGAAAAACCGAACGGTTTTTCTAAAAAAACGGCGGCGGCGGTCAATCTCGTCGGCGGCGAACTCCGCGGCAGCGGCGGCTGGGGCTAGGCACAACTATTGTTAGGGTTTGCGGGGCGGTGGCGGCTGGGCTGCTCGGGCCTCGGGGCGGCGCTATTTAAAGCCCGGCCGGTAGGAGTCCGGGCCGGGTCCGGCTCTAAGTCTGTTCGCCGTTTTTTTAATAACTATGCTCAGAAAAAAAATACTAAACGGACTCCAAAAATCCCGAAATATATTTTTCCTGGCTTCTAAAATCAAGCCGCACAGGATGAACATTTATTTGAGTCCTAAATGCAATTTTGAAAAACGCGCATTTTTCCTAATTTCAAATAAAATAGAAAATAAAACCAAAATAAAATATTATTTGATTTTTTTATTAAATCCTCAATATTTCCTTATTTTGGGAAAGTCATTTTATTCCCTCTCTCATTTTTTTTGATAATAGAAATAATTGAAGATAAAATAAATAAAATCAAATGATCCTATTTTCAAAATTTGAGCAAACTCAAATATGAAAATAACGGAATCCCCAACTCTCTCCGAGGGTCCTTGAGTTGCGTAGAATTTTTAGGATCAACCAAATGCAATAAAATATGATATGTAATGATGATCTAGTGTATAACATTCCAAATTGAAAATTTGGGATGTTACACCTCTAGAAAGATTAGACAGAAGTAAGACGAGCTGTAATTGTACGTACATGTAAATAACTCAAATGTGACAATGGTATGATAATACAATATGATGACGGTTGTCATTGATCAAGAAGGAAATCCAAAAGGAAGTCGAGTTTTGGGTGCGATCGCTCGGGAATTGAGACTTATGAATTTCACTGAAAGAGTCTCATGAGCTCCTGAGGTATTAAAAATACTAGTAGTAGAGACTATGATATAGTAGGGTATCAGAATATACATGAAAAAAGAATAATTAGATAATAATAAGAATAAAAATTCTAATCTTAATAAAAGGAAGGGTTCGAATAGCATCTACTAATATTACCGAAAACTTTGTGAAAATACTTCTACGAGAAGGTTTTATTGAAAACGTTCGAAAACCATATGGAAAGTAACAAATCTTTCTCGGCACGTGCCCCTGCTCCTGGTCTTCGAACTAGTCATTAATGGTCGACAACATAGGTACCCTTTTTCGGTATGCGTTGCGAACACTTCCATTTTTAGCGTCTCATCTTCTCTGGAGAAGCTCAAATTGAACGGATAGAGCAGATGGTCCAACTACATAACTTCTTCTTTTTCATTACTTCCATGGCCGTGCCCCGTGGCATGGCAGCACCTGTACCATTGAAATGGTTCGTCAATAGAGGTGTTCCCACTGGTGCCTCTTCTTCCAATGGTACTATAATTCCTATTCCTATCCCTTTATTCCCTTTTTTGGTCTATCTACATTTAAGGAAATTTATACGCTCCATGGACAGAGCTAAAAGTGGAGGGTTGGTCAAAGCAAGCCGCCCTATTCTATTACCAGACAAAATGGAGAGAAGCTCATCCACTAGAAATGCTTTATTTCATTTTGTTCCCATTCTCCATTTCCTTATTATCAAATCCATGGCGGACTTGTCATATTAGAATCTTTCTACGGTCTGCTCTATTTACAATTCTTTCGTACTCTCTTCGCTTTACCATGTGATAGGTCAGCAAAGCGTGAGCGGGCGCTCCGAAGTAAAGTACAACCAGTTCAGCCTAAGGGGAATAAGCAACAAAATGACAAGATGAGGTGCCCCGGGCACCCCCATATAGAAAGAAGGGTCGAAGATTTTGGGCCTATAGCTTTCCCCGCACCCCCTCGTCGAGTGGTGCTTGTTTGGGGGGTGTGCCACCAGAAAGCGGGCTTGAAGCTCTCACCTTACCAACGAGCCGACTGCTGATGGTTGTTGGTCACGATTACTACAAAAAAGTGAAGACGAATCTTTCTATTTCACATGGAGGAGTGTGCATCTTTTTGTTGGGTGTTCTTCTGTCGTGTGACTCGATGGCTTATGTGCGACCTGTGGCCCATGCCTCCTATTCTATTTGTTCAGGGCGGGCGACGTGAACTCTGATTCGACCCGGGTATTCAATCCCGCCACTCAGATGCTCAGTTGACTCCTTAACCTTGATAGGAAGATGGCTTATTCCAAAATTCGTGCATAAGGGTGAGGAACTTTGGATGAATTAATGTGAATGGGTGAAAGCTAAAGGAAATATGCCCTAGAGGAAATAATAAAGTTGTTATTTTATATTTCCTCTTCATGATAAAGGTTTATTATTCATGCTAGAATTGTATTGATCGAAAACTTAAATACATGTGTGAATACATAAACAAATACCGTGTCCCTAGTAAGCCTCTACTAGACTAGCTCATTGATCAAAGAGGGCTAAGGTTTCCTAACCATAGACATGTGTTGTCATTTGATAATGGGATCACAACATAAGGAGAATGATGTGATGGACAAGACCCATCCGTTAGCTCGACATATTGATCGTTCAGTTTATTGCTATTGTTTTCTTAATGTCAAATACATATTCCTCCGACTATGAGATTATGCAACTCCCGGATACCGGAGGAATACCTTGTGTGCTACCAAACGTCACAACGTAAGAGGGTGATCATAAATATGCTCTACAGGTATCTCCGAAGGTGTTTGTTGAGTTGGCATAGATCGAGATTAGGATTTGTCACTCCGAGTATCGGAGAGGTATGTCTGGGCCCTCTTGGTAATACACATCATAAGAATCCTTGCAAGAAAAGTGTCTAATGAGTTAGTTGTAGACGATGTATTATGGAACGAGTAAAGAGACTTGCCAGTAACGAGATTGAACTAGGTATGAAGATACCGACGATCGAATCTCGGTCAAGTAACATACCAATGGACAAAGGGAATTACATATGTTATCATAAGGTTCGACCGATAAAGGTATTCATAGATATGTAGGAACCAATATGGGCATCTAGGTTCCGCTATTGGTTATTGACCGAAGAGGTGTCTCAGTCATGTCTACATAGTTCTTTAACCCGTAGGGTTCGCACGCTTAACGTTCGTTGACGATATATTGTTATATGAGTTATATGATTTAGTGACCGAAAGTTGTTCGGAGTCCCGGATGAGATCACGGACATGACGAGGAGTCTTGAAATGGTCGAGAGGTAAAGATTTATATATATAATGATGGTATTCGGACACCGAATAGTTTCGGAGTGCACCGGTAGTCACCGGGTCACCGGAAGGGGTTCCGGACACCCCCGGTAAGTGTATGGGCTTAATGGGCCAAAGGAGGGGACATACCAGCCCACTAGGGGGCTGGTGCACCCCTTTACATGGCTGGCCAGCCCTAGGGGAAGGAAAGGGGAGGGGTGGCCCCTCCTGCCTTTCCCTCCTCGTGAGAGAAAGGAAAGGGGAGGGGGCTCCTCCTCTTGCCTTCCTCCCGCACTCATATATGGAAGGGGCGGGGCATGGCTTGGGGAAGTCCCCAAGTAGGATTCGGCCCTACTTGGGGCACCCCTTGGCCTCTCCCCTCTCCCCACCTATATATATGTGGGAGGGGGGCGCCTAGCAAGGACAAAACATTGTCTTAGCCGTGTGTGGCGCCCCCCTCCACCATTTACACCCTCGGTCATATTTTCGTTGTGCTTAGGCGGAGCCCTGCGGAGATAACTTTACCATCACCATCACCATGTCATCGTGCTACCGAAACTCATCCACTATGTCGCAGGATATCCGCGGCCACCTATGGGACCGGGTGGCCCCTTGCTAGTTCGGCGGGGGGACGTCGCGTTGCACAAAGAGCAGAAAGGCGCGCGGCAGCACGGCAGAAAGCACACGACCAATTTACCCAGGTTTGGGCCGCCGCGAGGTGTAAAACCCTACTCCTACTTTGGTGGATTGATGGTGGAATGAGTGTGGTGACATGTAGGACACTTGCCCAGCAAGGGTCGTAGCGACTACGCGCGTATCGTGGCTTGGGGTTGTCAAGTTTCTAATCTCCTAACCCCCCTACGAGTGCCATGGGCCTCCTTTTATAGATTAAGGGGTCACCACAGTGGCAAAGTGGTCATTATCTACTAATATGATAGAAAACAATGCTATCATACCTAACTCCGCGGGCTGATAGGGTGCATTAAATGCACAACTTAGTGTCACATCACTGATTGACCGGCAAGGTCTGCCGGGCTATCTCGCCGGCTCTGTTGGGGAACATAGTATTTCAAAAAATTTGCCTACGATCACGCTAGATCTATCTAGGAGAAGCATAGAAACGAGCGGGGAGAGTGTGTCCACGTGCCCTTGTAGACCAAAAGCGGAACCGTTTAGTAACGTGGTTGATGTAGTCGAACGTCTTCACGATCCAACCGATCAAGTACCGAACGCACGACACCTCCGCGAGCTGCACACATATAGCTCGGTGACGTCCCTCGAACTCTTAATCCAGCTGAGGCCGAGGGATAGTTTCGTCAGCACGACGGCGTGGTGACGGTGATGATGAAGTTACCGGCGTAGGGCTTCGCCTAAGCACTACTCTTGGTCCAAGTAGGATTCAACCCCCCCTTTCCTATTCCAACTAGGAGAAGGAAGGGAAGGAGGAAGAGGGGAGAAGGAAGGAGGGGGGCGCCGCCCCCTCCTAGTCTAATTCGAACCAGTCCATGGGGGCGCGCGCGGCCATCCCTTGAGGCCCTTCTCTCCTTTCCCGTATGGCCCATTGAGGACCAATACTTCCCCCGGTGAATTCCCGTAACTCTCCGGTACTTCAAAAAATATCCGAATCACTCTGAACCTTTCCGATGTCCGAATATAGCCTTCCAATATATCGATCTTCACCTCCCAACCATTTCGAGACTCCTCGTCATGTCCGTGATCTCATCCGGGACTCCGAACAAACTTCGGTCATCAAATCACATAACTCATAATACAAATCGTCATTGAACATTAAGCATGCGGACCCTACGGGTTCGAGAACTATGTAGACATGACCGAGACACATCTCCGGTCAATAACCAATAACGGAACCTAGATGCTCATATTGACTCCTACATATTCTACGAAGATCTTTATAGGTCAAACCGCATAACAACATACGTTGTTCCCTTTGTCATCGGTATGTTACTTGCCCGAGATTCAATCGTCGATATCCTCATACCTAGTTCAATCTCGTTACCGGCAAGTCTATTTACTCATTCCATAATGCATCATCCTGCAACTAACTCATTAGTCACATTTCTTGCAAGGCTTAGTGATGTACATTATTGAGAGGGCCCAGAGATACCTCTCCGATACACGGAGTGAGAAATCCTAATATCGATCTATGCCAACCCAACAAACACCTTCGGAGACACTTGTAGAGCATCTTTATAATCACCCAGTTACGTTGTGACGTTTGATAGCACACAAGGTGTTCCTCCGGTATTTGAGAGTTTCATAATCTCATAGTTAGAGGAACATGTATAAGTCATGAAGAAAGCAATAGCAATAAACTAAACGATCATAGTGCTAAGCTAACGAATGGGTCTTGTTCATCACATCATTCTCTAATGATGTGATCCCGTTGATCAAATGACAACACATGTCTATGGCTAGGGAACTTAACCATCTTTGATTAACGAGCTAGTCAAGTAAGCATACTAGGGACACTCTGTTTGTCTATGTATTCACACATGTGCTAAGTTTCCGGTTAATACAATTCTAGAATGAATAATAAACATTTATCATGATATAATGAAATATAAATAACAACTTTATTATTGCCTCTAGGTCATATTTCCTTCAGTCTCCCACTTGCACTAGAGTTAATAATCTAGTTCACATCGCCATGTGATTTAACATCAATAGTTCACATCATCATGTGATTTAACACTCTATAGTTCACATCGCCATGTGACCAATACCCAAAGGGTTTACTAGAGTCAATAATTTAGTTCACATCGCCATGTGATTAACATCTAAAGAGTACTAAGGTGTGATCATGTTTTGCTTGTGAGAGAAGTTTAGTCAACGGGTCTGCCACATTCAGATGCGTATGTATTTTGCAAATTTTTATGTCTACAATGCTGTGCACGGAGCTACTCTAGCTAATTGCTCCCACTTTCAGTATGTATCCAGATTGATACTTAGAGTCATCTGGATCGGTGTCAAAACTTGCATCGACGTAACCCTTTACGACGAACTTTTTGTCACCTCCATAACCTAGAAACATATCCTTATTCTACTAAGGATAATTTTGACCGCTGTCCAGTGATCCACTCCTGGATCACTATTGTACCCTCTTGCCAAACTCATGGTGAGGTACACAATAGGTCTGGTACACAACATAGCATACTTCATAGAACCTATGACTGAGGCATAGGGAATGAATTTTCATTCTCTTTCTATTTTCTCCCGTGGTCGGGTTTTGAGTTTTTACTCAACTTCACACCTTGCAACACATGCAAGAACTCCTTCTTTGACTGTTCCATTTTGAACTACTTCAAAATCTTGTCAAGGTATGTACTCATTGAAAAAACTTATCAAGCGTCTTGATCTATCTCTATAGATCTTGATGCTCAATATGTAAGCAGCTTCATCGAGGTCTTTCTTTGAAAAACTCCTTTATGCTTT